CTAATCCACTAGAAGGAGAGAATAAGTTATCAAATCTATGACAGAACCTCCTGAAGTAACTTAAGCGCGAATTAGGCTGAAGAGTCTAATTCAACACATGATCTCACAAGCGATGCGTCAAATTTTTAGAGTCATAACAACCTTGTCAGCTTGACATTTTCATTACTTATGCTGTAACTTTGCGCTTAGTGGTAAACGTATTCAAAACGTTAGCCTAGCTAAGAATCATACAAAGAAGCCCATCTTCATGTCTCACACTTCAAGTGTAGAAACAGTAAGTGTTCCAGACTAAGACAAGTCGGCAATGCTAACAGATTTGCAGCCACTCAAGCGCTAACTCTACTTAGTGTTAATAGATTGGCAGCTTCTAAGCGCTAATCTTTTAACTTCACGTGATATATTCAAATGCACACTATTATAGTGCATGAAAATTTTGGCTCCATCCATTCCCAATAATTGGTAGAGAGCAAAATACTGCTCATACTGGCTACTCGTCTTACACTTAATGACTAATTTATTTAAGCTCGCATTTCTTGGATGACGTGATCTAAATGTTACTTCATCCAATGATGTAACATTATTTAAACAAGTCAAATTACAAAGTCAATCCGCCCAGCTCAATAGTTAAGATCATATACAGATCTATTGAGGGCTTACTAATTTCATAACTCCAAAACTCGCCAACCAAAACTACGTAGCGTGCCGCTCACCATAGCGGCACACATTAGTTTTTATTATGCCAAACAAGACAACAAAAACATGGCGACTTTGAGTCATGTTTCCTTACTTTGGCTCAATAAGACTTGACCTAAAGTCTCCAAGACTTTTTGCTCATCTAAAGAATGGATTAATTGTTCACATTTGAACATCTTTACTAAGTCTAGGTCAACCAATTAACTTCCATAAGCTAAGTCAATTTAGAAGAGAAATTCGCATTGGGATTAATTTGATGCATAATATAATTTTGCCACAAAAATTTAAAATTAAATAGTGACAATATTACACAAGTCGCAAGATCGAAAATCCGCTATGCTCGTAATCATCTCTTGCACCACAGGTGACAATATCCAAAATTTAATTTAATTTATACGCAAAATATTGGTTTTCGGGAGTTAATCTACAAAGATTTCTCTCAACCGAATAACCTCCTACTGACTATGGCATATACAAGCATGCAATAAATTCCATACAATAGCATCTTAAGTAAATTTAACAAATAACTCATGCTATATTCATTTATAATGGAATTCTAATAAATAAATAAATAAATAATCATGCTCCTCTAATTACAACATATTACAAATCTAAAAATATGTTTGTATTTAATATTCAATTTATGCCATAACACAAGTATATCATACTGAAATTTTCTGAAATTTCTGGTATTTTCTGGAATTTAAATAACTAATAAACACACATTAAAATTAGAAATACAAATTCCAGAATCTGATAAACTGAAAAAAAAATCCAGTAAATAGTAAAACATTTCAGAAGTCTACAATAAAAATTCAACACCCAGAAAATAATTTACGCAATACCAGAATCATTTTAAAGCATAAATAATGCATTATTTTTCAGGAAAAATATTTTTATTTTCATAATTTTCACAATTTTACAGAAGATATAAATTTAATTCTGAGTCAACGGTACCAACCATGCTAAAACAAAGCTATAACGAATAAATTAGGCCAATTAAGGCATTCAGAATTAAAACAAACAAACAGAGCCTTAGAGCCAAGCCACGCGGAAAAAACGGCTCGGCTCGGCTCGCCGCCGCTCAGCGCAACTCGCTCAACGCGGCGTGGCGCATGGCGCGCGCGTGGCGCGGCTCGAAACGGCACGCTAACGGCGCGTGCGTGGAGGGAGGGAAAGCTCGCGCGTGGGGGAGCGTGGAAGCGCGTCTCAACGCGTGGTGGCGCGTGGCGCTGCTGGCGGCGTCATACAGCGCGTGAATCACACGCGCCGCCTTCCCGGGTGGTCTGGTCCGATTTTTTACTGTTGGACTCATTTTTCACAATAAAAACATTTATGGCATTAAAAATGACATTTAAACAACATAAAAATGAGGTATATCACTCTCTCAATCTAATGGAGTTAAAATGCAAAAAAAAAAAAAAAAAAAAAAAAAAAAAAACGTTGCACTTCATCTTCCTCACTCCATTAATATTCATTATGCATATATCATGTATATATTTTATATATTATATAAATATATATTCATATTTTAATGCATAAAAATAAGCACGAAAATACCATATTTATGACTCTGATATCCAATGTAAATCAAAGTAATAAAATTTTCAGCGGATAAAATATTTAGATCATACCTTTAGATGATAGAAACCTCGTGGGTAAATCACGTGCTTCCAGAATCTGATAAACCAACCCAGCAGTGAAGTGATATTACAGAATGAATATCACCCACACAAATCACAGTGCAAATGACTTGATCGTTGTTTTGGGGGGAAGAGAGTCAGTTATGGGTAAAACTCAGATCATACGTTGTTTCTACTTGTTTCTCTCTTAATCACCCATAACCCACATACTAGATATATAATATGTTATTATTATCTATCCATATCAGTTAATAGAGATAATATCTGTATTCTGAGTGGTTATCCTAAATAGGTTTGAATTCAATTTCAAAACCTATTTGGATAAGGTTCAAATTTAAATTCAAATGGTCATGCCACATGGGCGCCCATTACTAACAATTAAAAAAATTCAGTCCAAATTAAAACAATAAAAAAAATTATGTTTAATAACTTGATGAAAAATGTATCGATTTGTTATTTTAATAAATTAATTTTGTAATATCTCTAATGGTGATGGTAATGGTAATAGTGAGTTATAGGTGGTAGAATTTTACTATTTAAATGTGAAACTTAATAGTAAAATTTTACTTTGCTAACATTAACTTAAACAGTAAAACTTTACTATTTTTTTTTTCTTCAGAATTTTATAGTCAACAAGAAACTTATTCGATAGATCTCAATAAGAGAATTTCATATTCACTCACTCACTCACATACAAGAATATATCATCCTCTTCCGCATACATAAAGAATAAGATAAATTAATAAATTTATCACTGAATAAATTTGAATCTAAAACAAATGAGACAGTTGATATGGTGGTTGTGTGGATCGACGACAATGGAGTGTAAACCTACGATGGTAGAGCGTAATCTGCAGAGGTAGAGCTGAAGATGGTGGGTGGATGACAACGATGACGATGACTTGATCTAAATTCATTGCAACTACCGTTTAATTAAATGAATATAAAGCTCAAATGCTCCAAATGAAATAAAATATAGAGCTTAAGACAAATTCTGAAATCACAAATCCTGGACTCAATCTTGAGCTAGTGAGTATGGCTTGATCTAAATTCAATGCACCTACCGTTTAATTGACGAAAACGTATCCATTGAGTATGACAATTGTAATTTTAGTAGTTTTTTTTTTTTTTTTGGTTGATACTAGACTACAAAACCTTAAAAATTAAAAAAATCAATGATTTTTTTTTTTTTCTAGATTAGGACCACTTCAAAAGGTTTAAAAAAATGACGCAAAATTTTAAAATTCACTAAAAATAAAAATAAAAATCTGAAAAAGCAAAAGAAAAAGAAAAGAAAACTTTTTTAGTTGTTTCCGAACTCTCAAAATGTAAAATAAGCATTAATGGTTGTTGAAAACAGAACAGAGTAGCTTATTCCCAATACTCGGATACGAGATTTGATGTCCAAATCCAACCCATCTGTAAAACGACGACATTTGACCTCCTCATCATCCACAAACGAAGGGGCAAAACGAGATAAAGAAATGAACTTAGCTTCATATTGAGCTACAGTCAAATCCCCTTGCTCTAGCCGAAGGAACTCTCTTTCTTTTTCATACCGATAGGTAGCTGGAAAGTACTTGTCATTGAAAACCTTAGTGAATTGGTTCCAGGTCAATCCTCCGGTGCCACTTGCCGTAAGTAGGCGTTGCGTGGCCTCCCACCAATATTCAGCCTCCTCCACCAGCATAAAACTAGCAAGTGCAACTCGCTGCTCGTCTGATACTTCCATCACAGAAAATATCTGCTCTACCCTCCTTAACCAGGCCTCTGCCTCCATAGGATTGGGCGATCCAGAAAATGATGGAGCCCCCAACTTCTTGAACCTCTCAATTGCGGTGAGGCGGTTCTCTGTAGGTTGCACAAATGGCCTTGACTGTGCTGCATTCTGTTGTTCAAGGATGTGAGTCTGCCTCTCCGCTAGGCTAGCCATTGACTCTAAAAGGCGCTGCACACTAGGGTCTAAAAATGCTGGAGCTGTGTCAACCCTTGGTGGTACGACTCTATCTGAATGTCCCACTTCTGGATTGGCACTTGACTCTTGAGTTTGCTCATTATGCGATTCATGTTCAATCTCTTCTTCCTGAACCCGAGGTGGAACTTCATTTCCAACACTAAGATGTGGCTCTCGCTCAGCCTCAAGTACTTCCATAAGGGGGCGACTCTTATGAACTCTTCGCCTTGCCATACGCGCCTGTATAACAAGACAATTAAAACTTAGAATACTAGATCGCTATTAAACATCATCACTAATCGAATTACTAACTACAATACCCTATCAACTTTAATTCTAAAGTAACTCGTCTACAGATTCATAACCTAATGCTCTGATACCAAAAATGTAACGACCCAATCTTGGCAAGGCAAAACCCTGCCAAGAGGGTGCACCTCAAACGTTATAGCACCTTTACACCACAATTCCTGTATAATTCATACATCACATCAAAAAATGTAACGACCCAATCTTGGCAAGGCAAAACCCTGCCAAGAGGGTGCACCTCAAACGCTATAGCACCTTTACACCACAATTCCTGTATAATTTTTACATCACATCACCACATCACCAAAAGTGCATAAGATCTTTCAATTGCCCAATGATCTATTCAAAGACAAAATGTATTATCATGCTACAAGATAGTTCCCAAGCATTTCCTCCCCCCCAAAAAAAATGTAATACATACTAATCACGAATCCATCAATACATCCAACTTCATAAGCAATTTTTACAATCAACCTCCTTCATAAAAAAAAAAGGGTAAGCTTACGTCCTAGAATGACCCTAAGCAAAACCTCAACCACAAGATGCCCACCTGTGATCCTTCAAAAATTCTAGTCTTCCAAGTTGAGGCGAGCCACACAAAAGTCTATGAATCTGAAAAAAAATTATTTAAAAGAATGAGCTAAAGCCCAATGAGTATACCAATACCATGGAGTTATAAAACTTGCTCCTACCAATAGGGTTCAAAATAAAGATACTAAACATAAGAGCTTAATTGGACTTAAATTTATACAAAATAAAAATAAAAATGATGAAATACAATTTTCATAAAACGTTATCAAGATTTTTCCAAGGAATCTCATAAGGCAGAAAAAAAAATACATTTGGATAACGAAAGTAAACAAAAATATAACTTTTCAATACATTAAGATTTCCTGTCCATCATACAACCCACTACATAGCCTTAGTGTCGCGTTACCTCGCGACTTAGGTGGTGACGGTACCGCTACCCAAAACATAACCATAGGAACATAGCTCATGTCATCGTAGCACTTCAATTCTTATTTCAATGTTTCGGTCCCCGGGACCCCTTATACATACAACGACCATTATGGTCCTTAAAACATTTCGGTCCCCAGGACCCCAAAGCATTTTGGCCCTTGTGGCCCCAAAGGCTATATTCGGTTATATGATCAATGAAATAAATACCCTCACATAACATTTCACTGTCATTCAATCATCATCATCATAAAATTTGAAAGACTCAACTTAAATAAATTCTCATAAAAAATTTAATGCTTCATTATACAAATGAAATCATATCTTTATTAAAACTCAACCCTTGGCCTCAATAAATTTATAGATTTTCTTTTTATACATATATCATGATGAAATGTATCATTCACTTCCTTTAATTCAAACTTTGTAATAAAGATAGAGGTAAGGTAATTTCCATGGTAAGTATACTCACCTCCAAAAATAGCAAAAGTGTAGATTTGAAACTATACAAATTAATTTCCAAGAGGTGTAGAGATGCCTTCCTCCAATCCTAACAATTTAGTAAATAGGATCTCAAATTAGGAAAAGCTTTCAATGAAAATTACAACATCTACAAAAATGATCCTAAATAAAATTATGCTAAGGAATGGCAAGCTAAAGAACTCCTCCAACTTTAAGTCACCTAAACAAATAACTTATCCAATCTCCACAACACCCATCCTTTGAACATCTTTGGGTTAGTAACTTTTTAAATATCCAATCAATTTATATGCACAATACCACCATCAATTTACTACAAAAGTCAAAAATCAACATTTTTGTATAAACTCAACAACTTAAGTAAAATCTCTTCAATCACTTATAAAATTCCTCCATAGAACATAGAGATACCCAATCCACCATTTATCAAATCAATTTCAACATATAAATTCCCTAACACCAAAATCCCCAATTTTTACATCACATTCAAACCCTAGATTAACCCAAAATCTTAATCTCCAAATCTACCATCAAATTGACCTTTTTTTTTTTTAAACATGTAAAACATTCATGGAAACTAATTGAGAGTATAAAATTCAACAAGCAAACCCCAAATCATAATAGATCTAAAACACAAAAATTCCATCATCTCTAACTCAAAATATGTAAAACCTTAAACTAAACTTTTAGAGAAAGATTCTTACCAATTACAAGCCTCTAATCCATCAAGAAAATAAATCCCATGCTTTGATTCTTCAAAAGATTAAGAAAAAATCTAGAGTTGGTGCTTCTATTGTGTTATTTTCGGATGGATTCAAGGAGTGCCGACCGGACCCCTTTTTTCCGGCGAGATAAGGTGGCCGGAGGTGGTGGAGATGGTGGGTCAAGGTGGTGGTGTAAGGGTGGAGCAAAGGTGTGGTGTTTGGCCTCCAAGAAAGTAAAGGAAAATGAGAGAGAAAGTAGAGAGAAGTTAGAGAATGAAGAATGAAGAAAAAAAATCTGCACTTCTATTTTTTTTTTTTGTTGAAATGGGGTGTTTGGTCACACCTACTATCAAGTTTGGGGTTGGGTTTAGATATCCTAAATGGAGTTTAACATAGGAGTGTGTTTGGCTCTAGATGAAAAGTTGGGAATATTATAATTCTACCCCCCTAAAGGAAAATTTCGTCCACGAAATTTATTCGTTTGTTTAGTCTAGTTCATACTTTGAAAAAGATGTGGATATCGAATTTTCATATTATCCTCCCGCTCCCAAGTAGCTTCCTCCAAAGCATGATTTTTCCACAATACCTTTACTAGTGGTATGGTCTTGGAACGTAGTACTTGATCCTTCATGTCCACAGTCTCTATGGTTTCCTCTTCATAAGACAAATCATCCTTAAGTTGGATTGGTTGGAAATCTGACACGTGTGATGGGTCAGGCATGTACTTCTTCAACGTGGATACATGAAACACATTGTGAATGCGAGATAGACTAGGTGGTAAGGCCAAACGATAAGCAGTCTTGCCAATGCGCTCTAGTATCTCAAATGGCCCAATATACCTTGGACTTAGTTTGCCTTTCTTACCAAATTGCATCACTCCCTTCCATGGCGAGATTCGTAAAAATACATGATCTCCCACTTGAAATTCCAAATCCCTCCTCCGATTATCTGCATAGCTCTTTTGTCTACTTTGAGCCGCCTTCAACCTTTCTCGAATAATATGCACTTTATTGGTAGTAATTTGAACAATCTCTGGCCCTAACAATTTTCTCTCTCCAACCTCATCCCAACATACTGGAGTTCTACATCTTCGCCCATATAAAGCTTCATAGGGAGCCATCCCAATACTTGATTGATAACTATTATTATATGCAAATTCTATTAAGGTCAAGTGTTCATCCCAACTACCTCGAAAATCTAGGACACAAGCTCTCAACATGTCTTCTAAAGTTTGAATTGTCCTCTCGGATTGCCCGTCGGTTTGGGGGTGAAAAGCTGTACTGAATCTCAGTTTAGTACCCAAGGCATTTTGAAGACTACGCCAAAAGTGGGATGTGAAGCGCGAGTCTCTGTCTGAAACAATACATACCGGCACACCATGCAATCTCACAATTTCATCCACATAAATTTTTGCTAATCGATCAAGTGAAAAGTTTTTCTTAGTAGCCAAAAAGTGTGCAGATTTGGTCAACCTATCCACAACAACCCAAATAGAGTCATGCCACTTCTGTGTGCGAGGCAGGCCCGAAACAAAATCCATGGCAATATGC